CCCCCCTCCCTCTCCCTCCCCCTCCCTCCCGCACACACAGCTTCGACATCGAATGCATCGTCGTGCGCCCCTCCGGCCGCGGCGGACACGGGTCTGCCTTCGACACTAAGCGTAATGTCGTGTGGATCTTCGGCGGATACTCTACTTACTACCCCTACCTCCGCACCGACGGCGCAGGCTCCGGTCCGGGCGTAACCTCCGTGGGATCGGGGGGCTTCATCCCCTACCCCGGATACGAATACTTCCGCAGCGACCTGTGGTACTTCAATCTCAACTCCTCTCTGTGGGTAGAGGTGGTGCCCCCACCGAACACGGCTATGCCTGACGCTCGCATGGACCCTGTCTTCCTCCTATTGGGGGACTCTGACCTGATCTTCCTGCACGGCGGGTTCGCCGACAACTACGTGTACCAGGACACGTGGTACTTCAACATCACGTCTGGGCGGTGGCTGCACAAGGAAGAGTAAGTGGGTAGTGGCGCAGAGTACTCATGAACTCACACTGACCCTCCCCTCTTCTCTCACTTTTCCCCTGTACTGCGTATCTACTTGCCTGCTTTGTTGCTTCGTTTTGCAGGTTCGTGCGTCCGATCTACCCGCCCGACTGCACGGACGACTTCGTGTACATCGCAGAGAACAACTGCACCGCACTGACCTGGCCCAAGCACCTGAAAAGAGACGAGTGAGTGGCAGAGTCAGAGACAGAGTAGCATAGCAGCAGATGCAGAGCAGCAGAGTAGCAGAGTAGCCAACACAAGACATTCCGCATCCCCTGCTCCTTCTGCACCCCACTCCCTTGTGCTCTCCTCTGTGTCACGCTAACCCCTTCCTTCCCCCCTCCCTCACCCTTTCCCTCACCCTCTCCCTATTTCTGTCCCTCTTCCTCTCTTTGCTCACTATATTTTCCACCCCCAACTCCCCCACCCCCACCTACACCCCGTACCAGATTCTTCCCCTTCAGCATAATCCCCTACGTAGACCAAGAGTTCTACTGGCCCGACAGCAACCACGGCCCCTACTTCGGCATCTTCGTCAAGGACGAACAGGAACGCATCAAGACCGGGGACCTGGACTTCGGCGCCACCGCCCCCCAAGGCACGCCCCTGCCGCCCTTCGCCGCCACGGGCCTGATGCAGTACGCGAAGACGTTCAGCTACTCGTTCAACTCCTCCCACAACGCCACGCTGTACGAGCGCTGCACCAGCGTATTCGCCGAGCCCACGCGGGGCAAGATCACAGACGGTCTGTACGGGCGCGCGAACGATTCGGTATTCATCGCCCAGCCGCGCCCGCAGAGCCCCGGCTGGGACGGCTGCCGTGACCGGTACGACGGAAGGTCGGATCTGCCTGCCGGTTTGCAATACGTACAGCCACTGCCGCGCTACTTGCACCGTGCGGTGTTCCACGAGCCCACTAGCGAGATCATCATGTACGGGGGCATGGCCTATAATGAGCCGCAGGCCAAGTCCCTGTCCGACACGTGGCAGTCGGATGTGAAGTCAGACATGTGGTGAGTGCCTCTATTCCCCCTATCAACCTATCAACCTACCAACACCCAGCTCCGATCAGCTCTCCAACCCCCCTTTCCCAGCACCCCCTGTTCCCACTCTAATTATTTTATCCTCTTTCTCCCCTCAGGTACTACAACTTGTTCCACTGCGCCAACAACTGCAGCAGCCACGGCGACTGCTTTTACGGGTTCTGCAAGTGCCACGTGGGCTACTACGGCTCTGACTGCTCCAACACCTCCTGCCCAGGCACCTTCTGCTACTACGACGAGACAACTAACAAGCAGATCTGCACCCACGCGTGCCAGGCAGGCTACACCCACACGGACCTGGACACCTACGTGCAAGACATCTACAAGATCCCCTGCACACAAAAAAACGCGGGGGAGAGCAACGGCATCTGCGATGGGTACGGGAAGACCATGTGCGCGCCCCCCTTCCTGGGAGATGACTGCGGCACCAAGGACTGTCGAGATAACTGCTCCTTCAACGGCTGGTGCGCCATAGAATACCCAGTCAGCCGGTGCCAATGCATTCCAGGGTACTTCGGGGCAACCTGTGCCGAGAAGCTGTGCCTGAACAACTGCAGCTACCCCAATGGCAACTGCAACAGCACCGCCGGCTCCTGCAACTGCAACATGATGTACTCGCCCTACAACAACACGCGAGAGTACAAGCCCTGGGGGGGCGAGGACTGCTCCTACCTCTTCCCCTACTCTGCGGGCAGCAATGCGGCCGGCCCGACGTCTCTGCTGTGGCTGCTGGTGGCGTTCGTGGCGTTGCAGCTGTTGCTGGCGTCGGGGCCTGGGCCGTGGTCTGGGTGTGTCGGCCATCACAGGAGGATAATCTCTGGCGCGGTGGCTGCTGACATCCGTCCGGGGTGGACGGACCCCCTGCATGCATGTGCACTAGATGCAGCAGATGCAGAAGATTTAGATACAGAAGATGGAGACGTAAATACGGTTTAGGGTTCTCTGCTTAGCTGCTGAGCTGGTGGATCGAGCCTGCTTCAGTCATGTTTATTTTGAATTTTAATTGTTGTACATAAAACAGGTGTCACGGTATCGCCCCTGGGGTTCGCTACATTAACTGACATAGATCTATCTACAGATAGGCGAGTTGACGCGGTGTCGCTTGGGATACTGTGAATCTAGAGTCTAGAGTCTAGAGCCTAGAGCATGAACTTGACCCTGCTGTCCTTGGCCACCACGTCGTAGACTGCGTACAGCTCCCCTGAATCCGAGAATACCGGCTCGATCGAGATGGAGACGTACTTGCCCCCCGCGGTCTCCTTCAGCGTGTAGGGGATGACCTGTTCGCCCACACAGGATGATATCGCCTGCACCACCTCCTCCACGAAAAGGGGCTCGTTCGCGCCCACCACCTTCAGCAAAAACTTTGTAGGAAAGGTCAGCTTTTCGTCGAACACCTTCTTGCCCTGAGTTTTCTCGTATTCGGCTGAGAGATCTCGCAGTTGCCCCTGCTTGGCGAGCTGGTCGATCGAAGGCATCCCCGTTACGCCGGGGATGCTGCCGAACCCACGGGCCCCACCTCCTGTAGCATGGACAGTCAAGCGCCCAGCACTGCGAACCACGGAGTGCACATCCGCGTTTCGAATCGGCCCCCGCAACAGCGGAGTGCGTGTAGTTGCAACACCTATCCTGCTAAAAGCCGCTGAGCGGCAGATCAGCGAGACAAGAGTCATTGCCATCAAGCAGGTTCTCAGCAGGGAAAGCATGAGCAAGTGCCACCCACGACTTGTTTGTATTCCACAATTCTTGGGGTCCGTGTGGTGTGCTGTGCTGTGCTGTGCTGTGTGCTGCAGAGGCCCTGCACCGTTGATACGATAGATAGGCCAGGTACATTCACGAAGAGAAGGTTGGGGAAGAGGACGAGACGAGGAGCAGCAGCAGAGGACAAATGCACTTCCACAAAAAGTGTCCAAAAAAGAGTTGTGGGGGTTTTGGGAGGTAAAACCCATCACAGTCAGTGGAGTACCAAAAATGGCAAAAAGACCCGAAAAGGGAGCAAAAAGCTCCATCTGGGATTCGAACCCAGGTCACCAGATTCAAAGTCTGGGGTGCTAAACCACTACACTAATGGAGCCGCGCCATAGAAATAGTGCGTCAGCTATAACAGAAACGAGGGTGGAATATAATCAGGAGCTGGGGTGGATCTGGATTCCCATGCTACTTTTCGAAGTCTGCGAAAGGGTTATGGCGCAAGATCTTTTCTATTCTTTGCCCTCTGTACAATCCTCCTTCAATCTGGCACCTACACCTCAACACATTGCCCCCTGACATTGCCATTCGAGGCTTGTCCAACTGTCCATTCCCCACCTCCGTCTGCCCTCCTAATTCCGTTATGTCGGCGGCACCGTCATGGTTATCGGACGAGAACGTCTCGACGGCCACCACGATGCAACACAACCCCACCGCAAAGGCAGTTGCTGGGTGGGCGGCATCCTCTGATATCGAGAAGGGGACGAAACCGGAGAAGCCGCCTAAGAACTCTACCGCAGTCTCGGACACCAGGCGTGCGAGTGTGGCCGATGATGTCTTGGATGTCGACCCAGCAGAACTTCTCTCAATGAAGAGGTGGCACCTTGCCTTGAGAATCCTATACATGGCCGCCTCGATTTTCCTGGCGACCGCAGCTGCTCTATCCCTCCAAAACCAGACCGATCTTGGCCTCGTCTTCTTTGCTTTCTACGTGCTGTTCTTCTCGGCAATCATTTGCTGCTTTGAAGTTGGAATGAGCGTAAGTCACGCGCACGCACGCTAACTCGCCCTCTCTCATTCTCTCTCTCTCATTCTCTCTCTCATTCTCTCTCTCATTCTCTCGCTTTTTCTCTCTCTCGCTCTGTGTTTGCAGGCTATCTCAAGAATGATTGCTGTCAACTTTGGATTTATGTACACGCTCTCTGGGCGGCTCATTTTCCTCATCCTCGCGGGCTTTATGGCATTTCTCCTCTCCGTGCTGGGCAAGGTGGCCATGGGCGCCCTATACGGGGTTCTCCTGTTCCACGCATTCATCATGTACAAGTTCCCCAAGTTCGAGCAGTACCTGCGCAAGAAGCATTACTACGAAGGAGCTGAGGCAGAGAAGAACGCGGGCACCATGTGAGGAGCCAGATTGGCGAATGCGTGGGGTCACTGGAAGCGGCACATCAATTTGCGCTTCAGTGGTGCGGGATTTGGTATGCAGGAGGCAGGGGTGTTGCTGAAGCAGTGCGTATGGGTGAGGACGAGGGGGTACAGGTAGTGGCAGATAGATTCTTTTTGCACAGTCCCGATTTTGAACATAAAAACATGAGGCCTTTTGTGGACCTTTCGAGTAGAAAAAAAAACGATCAATTTGCTAGACCACCCTCTTTGTTCAATCATACATCTATACTATCAAGGCTACCGCTACTAGCTGTCTACGCACAGCTTTCGGACTGCGTTTTCAAATGGAACTCTACGGACCCTAGGACCCTATCGCTTCCTAGCTGAAAACTTAATATTCCCTGCGTGGAGGTGTTTTTTCGTATCCGCCGAGCTGTCCACGCCGCTGTCGCTGCAAGACACCCTCTCCGCCACACTGGCGGTTCCGTTGACGCTGCGCACCTGTAGAAACTTCCCGGCCTGTCGGCACTTGAGCATGGCGGGCTCCTGCTGTGATGCCTCGTAGTTGAGGTACTGCGCTGTGTAGAGGTACTGGGGCGTGCGCAGGGGAGGCAGCTGGCGGGCGTTGTGTTGCTCCGTCTGCTTGAGGTGCGCAGAGCGGAGGATGTAGTCTGCGATGCTGACTGTGCGGTGGTACTTCATCGCATACAGATAGCCGCTCACTGCCACTCTGCGCGCCTCGACGAGATTCGCACGGTAGAAATCCAGCTTGTTCCACAGATCTGTCTTGTTGTTATTGTCGAAGTAGACCACGTGCTCGCCCCCGATGAGCGGGAAGTTGTAGGGTACGTACAGTGGATCGACGAACACCAGCGCACCTGTGCACATAGACTCCCACAGGCGGAAGTCTCCCTCCCAGTTCATGGGGTTCACGGTCACGATGATTTGAGAGTTGAACATCTGCTGGAAGTAGGCCATGCTCACGGTGGTGCGCGTTGCGGTGTTCACCTGTCCGGAGACGATCTTCGCAACCCCCCTCTGCACGCCGTACTCCGCCACCCACGTCTGCACCCGCATGCGGGTGGCCATTTGCTTGTTGCCGCGCAAGGTGCAGAGGATCTCGATGTCGCGGTCGAGGTTGAAGTGCGACGGGATGTACGCATCGGCCACTCCGTAGACCATAGGATAAACGTCCGGCTGTATGAAGTGCGGGTACCTTCTGAATACGCCATCTATGCGCCGCACGAAGCTGCGCTTGAAGTACATAAAGTACCACGGCTTGGCCCTGCCCCCGTACCGTTCCACATACTGCTCGGGCGTGACGGTGGGCGAGATGAGCGTGTGTCCGTCAAACTCGTCCAGCACGATGAGACGCGGGGCGTAGGAGGCATTGGTGCACTCGGTCAGGTGCCAGGGCGCGGAGCCGGGTAGGTAGATGATGAAGTCAGCCTGGTTTATGTCCTCCTCCGTTACCAGATCCACATTGGGGTGCAGGCTCAGGCCCTCTCTGGCCAGGTAGTAGAAGCGCACGCCGTGTCTAGTGGGGTGCTTGCACAGGTACACCTTGACCTTCTTCTCCAGCTGTAGGGCGGGCTCGATGCACTTGGTCTGCGTGGGGCACTGGAGCAGCTCGGCATGCTTGTGGGGGCTGATGTCGGTCCCGTTGCGCGGGCTGGAGGCTGGATGGTGCTCCACGATCTCGTACTTATGGATGTCCACCCACTTGTCCTTGGTGACCTTCTTGGCCCTTGATCTCTTCTTGGCCCCCTGAGAACTGTTCGAGCTCTTCAGCTGCACAGCTTTGTGCGCTACTATGTCTTCATCCTTCAGGAAATGAAGTTTATGACTTTCCGTCCGCTTCAGCCTCGCGGCCGCGGCCGTCGAAGCGGCAGCCAATGCGGCCGCTTGGTTCGCAGCGGTGGCGGTCAGGTCGAGGAACTGCAGAGGCGCCGTAGCCGTACTTATCGTTGCCTTGTGCGCCTCCACGTGCTTGTCTTCGAGAAACTCAATTGGTTTGTGTGTGGAGTCCAATCGCCGCCGCAGCACGACATCGGAGAACACCTGCAGCCCGTCGAGTAGGCGCCTGTTGACGGTGTTACCGCTGCTGCTGCTTCTGTTACTCCTGCTGCTGCTACTCCTGCTGCTGCTGATACTTGCGAGAACACTGTTGCTATCAGCCGCTATTGACTCTCCAATGTCCAACAAACGTGCCGATTTCTCCTCTGTCTGCTGAACACTTCCCTTACGAATGGTGCCTGTCAGTTTAGCAGGGGCTTCCAAATGATACAACACGCTCATAAGTAAGACTACAGTAACGATACCGATGACAAACGGTCGGACTGAGCCCAAACAACCCATGGTGCTCGACCGCCTTGCGTCCTGCATGCCTCGGCCACCACAACGAGCAGTCTACTGCATCCAACGGAGACACCCTCTGTACCTGACTCCCGTCAGCACAGCAGAGTGGTCTGCGAGGACTGGACTCCAAAGATTGACCACTAAGAACCATGGGTGTGTCGAAGAGAGGTTCGCAAGAGTTGGATTCTTGTCGGCAAAACCTGCTGGAAACCGCGTAACCGTCAGTCGGCGATGCAGGGCTGGAAACCGCGTAACCGTCAGTCGGCGATGCCCAGGTTTTGCCGACAAGGCAAAATCATGTGCAACACAAAGCAGGCCAAATCTCAGATGGGAGATCCTGGGCCAATCCATTCATTTCCGAGCAAGGCGGCAGCTCCGTGCATAGATTCTGTCGGGACCATGCGATCCTCGACGCGGTCACAGTCGCCCGGCATTCGCCGGGGTTCGCCGGCTCTGAAGCAATTCTTGCACAGGGAAGATTCTCAGTCACCCGGGATTCGCAGGGGTTCGCCGGAGCGGGCGCGCTCGATGTCGCCAGCTCTGAAGCACTACTTGCACTTGGACGAAGGAGACTATATATATACGCCACCTGCGCAGGTTCCTCCTCGCAGCCGGTCCGCCAGTCCCGCCTCGTATCGTCAAATGCGCCAGGCAGAGAGCAGCACCTCTGAGGCATTATTCCCAGCCAGTGCTCATACCAACGCGTCTGAGCAAGAAGACAGATCCTATGAGGAGGAGGACGAATTTAGAAGCAGCTTGGCCTCCGACCACACCCTAGACTTCGCGGACGAGATCGAGGACCTCACTACGATGGACTTCAAGGCCATGCGCTTGCTCGTGCTCACAGCCAGACATGCCAAGGACCTCGCCGTGGAGCGCGCAGCAGCTCTGGAGATGCAGATGTCCAAAGTGGCGGGTTCTGAGAAGTGGAATGTAGCTTTCACTATAGTACGCAGGGCCATCTCGAACTACATCAGCGACAAGTTCAGAGCCTTCCACCGCTGGAAGCACGCCGTGCTGGGGTACCACATACACATCCAACTCAACAAGCACAACAGCCTGGTGCTTAAACTGGCCCTAAAAAGCGCCAATAAGTCGCACACGATGGCGAGGGCCAAGGCCTTCACCCGCTGGGTGCTGAACAGCCACAGAGCCAGAGAGGGCGCGTCTTTCTCGCTGCAGAAGATAAAGCGCTGCAGGCGCATCCTGTGCCTGGGCTGGTGCAGACGCGCGATAGCCCAGTGGCGGCAGTTTGTGGGTGCGGGTTACCAGCAGAGACTCAAAAGCGCTACTCTGAAGGCCTTTCTGAACCGCGGGCAGAGGTCCATACGTGAGAAAAAGCAGCAAGCGGTGGCCCGCTGGAGGGGCGCTGTCATGGGCATGAAATTGAAGGGCATGGTGAACAAGCGGGTGGTGGAGGTGATGCGGCGCTTCTGCTCGAAGGAGCATGATGCCTTCGAGTTGTGGCGCAGGTTGGTCTTCGTCGATATGCCTAAGATGCAAAAGGTGACAGGCCGTTTCTTCGAGTTGCTCAGTAAGTGCGGCATATACCACACCCGGAGGGCGTTCAACAGCTGGAGAAGCAGGGTGCAGGGGATGATCAAGTGTGCAAGAAAGGCTCTTGAGTATATGGACAACAAC